ATGACTTGCACCTGCATACTTAAAACCGAGTCCTTGTTTTTCGGAGCCAGCATCTCGGCCCAGGTAGCTTGCCCAGTGTTCCAGTTCCTCTGAGACCAAGGCTGTGCTCCGCTTTATTTAGTCCTCAGAGGGCAGGGACCTCTGTCAGGCCCGAGGAGGCATAGAACGCCTCTTGCCAAGCTCCTCCTGCTGGCTGCAGTACCCACAACCCCTTGCTGTCGGATTCCACTGACCCCACCATCTGCCCAGGCCTTGTCCTCCAAACACCTGACAGTCCCCCAGCACCTGGGAGGAAGGTGTCTGCTTTCTGGCTCCTGGCCCCTGTGTGTCTGGTCTGATGGGCCCCACTGCCCACCAAATTTTCAGTGCTTGCTTCTACATTAGAATCACTCGGGGAGCTTTTTAGATACACAGATGCTTGGGTTTCTTCCAGATTATTTAAAGCACACTTTCTAGAGGTAGGTCCAGGATACAGGTATTTAAGAGACGTCTCCAGATTACTATCATGTGTACCGAGGGACACTACTTTATGTCAGTGTCCCTCAAAATTCCATGTGCATACACAGAACCTGGGAGTGTTGCTAGAATGCACTTGCTGGTTCAGTAGGTACGGGGAGGACCTGAGATTCTGCACCTGTGGGCGAGATCCCAAGTGGTGACTTTGACGTTGGTCAGGCTCAAGACCAGCGGCTCTCAGAGTGTGGTGGAGAACCTCCTGGGGACTTGTTAGAGATGCACAATTTCAGGACGCTCCCCAGACTTTCTAAGTCAGAAACCGGGGGTGGGACCCGGAAATCCACGTTTTGACAGTTTGAGACCCCCCGGCCTCCATGGTGCTCCCCAGTAGAAACTGATGCAAACTCATGTGCTATGTAAAATTTCCTGGTTGTCAGTTTTAAAAAATAAAAAGAAACAGGTAATATTAATTTTAACAAAATAACTTATTTAATCCAACATGTCCACAATAGTATCCTTTTAGCAAATACAAATGTAAAAAAAAATTAATGTGTCCATGTCCATTCTTTTTCCACGCTGTGTCTTCAAAGTCCAGTGCGCCTCTTACACGTGTGTGCTGCCTCAGGTCTGACTAGCCACATGTGAGTGTTCGGTTGCCATGGGAACCCATCCTTTTGGATGGCCAAGACCAACTGGACTTACAACAGCAGTAACAGCCTTAGCTTTTTTAACAGCTCTTATTTTTTGAGATTTTATTTATTATTTATTTGTTTGTTTGTTTGTTTTTAGAGAGAGGGAAAGGGAAGGAAAAAGAGAGTTAGAGAAACATCAATGTGTGGTTGCCTCTCACGTGGCCCCCACTGGGGACCTGGCCCGAAATCCAGGCAGTGCCCTGACTGGGAATCGAACTGGCGACCCCTTGGTTCACAGCCCACGCTCAATCCACTGAGCCACACCAGCCAGGACCCTTAGTTTTTATTGAAATGCTTGCTGTGTATCTGGCATTACTTCATCAAGCATCTTATGTGCGTTATTACGTAACCGTTATTACATAACATAAGCCCTACCACCAGTGCCCACTCTAATAGAAGCATTTCCATATTAGTTTAAGTCAGTTTATTTGTTTAAAAAAGAGAAAAATTTGAGAATATAAATAAAATAATTAACATTGCTACACTTAGTACAATTGTTAAGACATCAACAGCTTACAAATGGCATAGTAGTAAGACTATACTTTCAGGGATCATTTCTATAGTTCATTACCAAAAGGCATGGTAGTGGGTAAGTAGAGAAGTCCAAATTTACTATCCTCTAACCTTCCAAAATATGCCTAAGGTCCAACATGCCCTCTTCTGTGACACCAACTCTATTGAAAGGTGCTCATTGACAGGCTGGCTGACCAATGGGGAAAAGAGCCCTTGGATGAGTCATGTGGCAGGAAAAGATTTATCCTGAATAGAAGCAGCTGGCAGGGTCTTAATCTATTCACTCAAACACAGATTTTGATACCAAATTACTCTAGTAATAAAACCACATACCACATAGTGACGTGTAGGTCAACAAGAGACCATGCAGGCAATGGTGGTCCCATAAGATACAATGCCACTGGAAAGTCCCTGTTGCCTAGTAATGTCGCAGCCTTCGTAATGTCATAGCAACGCACAGTGTGCTTGCAGGGATGCTGGTGTAAATGAAACTGCTGCACTTCTGGTTGTGGAAAAGTATGGCACATACAGTTATGTATGGTACATAAAAGTGGTTGATGAGAAATGACTATCTTACTGGTTTATGTATTTACTATACCATGCTCATTGTTATTGTAGAGTGTACTCTTTCTACTTACACAAACAGGTTTGCTGCTGTTAAAAAACAAAATGGAACTGAGTACATGGGCAGATCTAAGTGGCTTTATTAAGTGATTTATGAACCAGCAGCATCACATCCAGCAACTAGAAGGGGACTTGGCTGGGTTGGGTATGCGGAATAGAAGGTTTTTCTGGGAAGATGGGTGAGGCAAGGGAGCTATTGAAAAATGAATATTTGGGGGCAGGACACCTTTCCTTGGGGAAAGGGAACAGGGAAGAGTTCTCCCATGCAGAGCGCCTCTGCTTTCTCTAGGGATGGAGAGGGCCCGTGTGAGAGATTACCTGACTGGCGCTTGACCAGAAAATTCCAGACTGGCTGAGTAAGATTCCTCTCCTGGGAGAGGCTGAAACTGCAGTGAGGCCAGACATTGCATCCAGGGTTGGCATCCTGGGCTTCTAGCGGGAGGGGCGGCACTGGGGGCCTGCAGGTTTTCTCGGCTGCTGCAAAGCAGTGTGCTCTGGGACGCAGGCAGTCACCCCGTGCACACCCTCTGATTACCGCGTCTCTCCAGAGCACCGTTCTTCTCTTGTGCTTGATTTCATCTCAGTTGTTTTGTACAACAATTTGTGGTGCAGGTTCATCGCCTCGGAGCAAACAGCCGAGGGGAGTAGCGGGCTGCCCCATCTAGGTTGCTGTGAGTGCACTCTGCGGTGTTCACACAACCGAGTCACCTAAGGATGTGTTTCTCAGGAGATACCCGCATAGGGCTGCAGTTCAGTGTCAGGCAATGCGCCGATGTAGAAAATGGGCAGTTCAGGATTTAAAAACAATGATTGATTTAGGATCACGTAGTTCCTCTTTGTAAGTTTCCTTAATCTCCATATTTTCTCAAGGAAGGCCCATGTTTCAATGTGTATCCTTTTTTTATTATACACTATTTTAAGGAGGAAAAAGTAAAAACAATTAAAAATTTTCTATCTGAGGCTAGGCTTCCATTTTTTATCAGAATTACCATTTATCATTTTGACCAAGTAATATCCTATTTTAAACTGACAGATGTTTAAAACATAGTGAAATTTGATCATTTAGGATAAATGAACAGAAAAATGCATTATTCTACAGAGAATTATTAAACTCTGTTGTATATATATTTAAATAAAGTTAATCTTATTTTTAAATTAAGTGTTTTATATTTAAATATCTGCATAGTTTTAATATAAGTGTATTATGCTGAAGGATTTCACTATTTCACCGTACTCCTTAGAATAGCAGTCATGCCTTTTTTTAACATATCATACATAATCCCCAGTATTTTCTACACTCAGTTTCACTGCCTCACTTTAATTGCAAGGAAAGAATTGGATTTGATGTGAGCATCTAGTAACCAGCCTCCATCATCTTAATTATAAACTATACATCATGGTGGTTTTCGTGCTGGACCAATGCATAGAACCTGCCTCCTCTCAGCAGAACTCGCTGACTGCTCAGCATTTTCTTTGTGGGGAGCTGAAAGGACTCAGGGTCTCTTCTGCAGAGAAGAAAGGCTTTTATAAAAATACTTGAGTGTTTCCTTTGTCAGAAGTAACTAACTTTCCCTCTCTGGGATGGAGAAGGCAGAAGGAGGCAGTGGAAACCGGGAGTCGGTCTGAGATGCACAGCATCTTCCTTCTGTCGTGGCATAAAGAAATTTTGCCTCCAATTGCTCTGGTTTCAATACTCTCATTGTGTGGGAAAAAAGAAGCTGTAAACGCCTGTAACAGATTCTGTCTTAATTCTTTATTCTTGCTGTGTTTGTTTGTGTGCTGCAAACCGTTGGCAGCAAGGATGCTGCCCACTGACTTTGCTCCCTCTATTCTCCAAGTGCCTGGCAGAGAGTAGGTTTGAAAGTACTTGCCACAAATATTTGCAGAAGGAACGAACATATGAATGGTGAATGAATGAATGGATAAGATTTCTAGGTCTTAATTTATAATTCTGGAAACAAAAGGAAAGGCCACAGCTCACTGGCTATTGTGAATTACTTCTTCATCGGCCTTTGGAGGGAGAAGCAGGGGGAATTGGTGTCTGTCTGCATCATGTCACCAAATGGTCCCCAGTCCCTGCCAACAGATAAGAAGTGTCAACAGCTTAACCAAGAAGCTTTCAAAAATAGCATGCTTGATGAAACTGGAAATTTGGGTGCGTGCTAGAAATAAACCATTTGTCTTCAGTCTTAACGAGGACAGGCTGATAACAGATATTCCTACCGGAGAGGCTGAACATTTTTTAAGACCTGTATATAAACAAGCAAGAAAGTATCAGATTTAAAGCCTTCCCTCTCAAGAAGGCATCAATGGAACATCTTATTTTCGATGAATCAGGTAAATCATTTTGAAAACTTGAGGATTATGGCAGGGCACACTGTTTCTTTAAGATTACAGTCAAGTGGGGTGTTTTGTGTGTGTGTGTGTTTGTTTGTTTGTTTTCAAGAGTTCTGGGCAGTTTTCCTCAAACTTTAAATGAATATTTGCACAGCAAACCCAGTGGCCGTGGGTTTCCTGGTTTGTGCCCTCCCCCTCCCCGGTAGGGGTGGGGGTGTGGCGATGCAGGCTCGCTGTTTTCACCCCTTCAGAGTCCACTCCGGCTGCTGTTAATGCTGAAAATAGCTCCCATACTCTCAGAACGGTAGCACCACCCAGCAGCTGGGATTCCTTCCCTCTCTTACTTGCCTTCTCTCTTGCCTTTTCTCCCCCCTTCAGACATTTGGATTGGACTTAATCTGAAATCTCTGGAGTTCAAGACCTTTTAAAAAGGGCTAAATAAACAATCTCTACATGTAAAGGCCACTGACTCCAACTTCCTCTCTTCAGAGCCACCGTTGAACCCAGCTAGCTGCCTGGAGGTAAGAGTTTTCATTCTGGAACTATTTCATTGGCTTAGGATACGTTTATGACTAATGGTTTTTAGATGGATTATTTATAGTGAAAATAAGCGGGGGCTAGGAGCGACCTCCAGGTGAACACGGTGTCCCGGAATACAGCGGGAGCATCGGTGCGGTTGGGGAGCTGGAATTTCCAACTGAGCTTAATCACTCTGACCTGCAGCAGCGACCCCTGTCCCTGCCACCACCCCAGACCTCCAGTCACCCCTGGTTGCAGGGCAGCGCGCCTGCCTTTGAGACATCACACTTTTGTTGTTGGACTGCTTATTCATGTTTAACTTTCTAAGGGCATTTTTTTTAAGGAACAGATGCAACCACCTGAGTAAAGAAAACCTGATAGCGATTGCTCCCCAAAGACAGGGAACAAGCCCTATTTTATTCTGTCCTTTGACCAATCACTGTCAGTTCATTCCTCGGGTAGATTACAGCAGTGTGTGTGTGTGTGTGTGTGTGTGTGTGTGTGTGTGTGTGTGTGTGTGTGTGTGTGTTGCCTGTTGTGTGTCCCTGGCACAGTCCGATGACTCAAATGGGAGCTGTCCTCACCTCACTGAATGTCCCTCGCTGGCAGGTTTCTCCGATGTGACAATACAACATTCTGGGCAGTTTCCCCGGCCCCCCAGCCACCCCTCCTTATGCTTGTGCTCACCATTTTGCAAAGTACTTTGATCTGTGGACTTTAACTTCAAACACAACATTTACTTTGATTGTGGGTATTTACTGTGGTTGAGAAAAGTCTCTTTTTTTGCATGCTTTTAAGTCTTTTTCTTTAAACAATCCATTGAGGTTTGGTTTTTTCTTGCTGGTATGTCTCAGGGGTTGCTTGTAGACCTCAACTGCGAGAATGAGATTGTTTCATGGCAAGATTCTCTCGCCACGGAGACTTTGGGCAAATTCTGCTTTCTTGCAGGCAGCCAAGGACAGTGCGGAGCCTGATTCTATCAGCCCCTCACTTGATTGCTGCCTCAGAATTACCATGTGCCTAAGGGCCCAACTGTTGCTTTTCTTTAACATGGCTCAGAAATCCTTGGTATTTACTGATACTCGGTTCCAAAAAAGTTTATTGATATCATAGTTCACATGTCAAAAGAAAGCATGAGTTTTAAACACACAGTGATTTCCTAAGTGACTCATTTAAAAAAAGGAAATTTAAAAAAAGGAAAATTAAAAAAACCCTCTGTAGCCAAAAGTCTGTTATGTGAGTGAAACTTTTGCTGAATGATGGATAAGGAATGAAAAAAATGCATTTCCTAAAATAGTCATTGTAGTGCTTTCTAGCCATCCAGGCAACTTTTAAATGCTGTCTTTAAAGATTTCTGTGTATTATTACACTTGTCTGTTGCCCTTTTTCCCCTCACCCCAAGCAGGAAGAGAGGTTATTTTCAGTCCTCAACGAGCTAGCTACTCAGTCCGACTTTCCTGGCAAACCGTCCCGCCAGTTCTGCTGGGGGCTAGGAGCAGAAGAGCCTGGTCCTGTTGGGAGACTGTTTAAGTCCCTGTTGAGGGCTGTGGCTCCTTAGAGCTCCCTGTCTTCCGCACCTTGCTGACAAGGAAGGAAGCAAGTGGCCACCAGAGGAGCTTTCAGAGGGGAGGAGCTGGGGAGAAGCTCTGGGAGAGGTTCTAGGTACAATAGCATCTCTAGAATTTGGACTAATAGTTGGAAAACTTACAGATGATCAGTCCAATTTTTATTTCCAAAATCTGGACATTGAATTGCCACCCCATCTCCCAAAGCTACATTTTAAGCCATCAAAATTTTAAGCCCTCCAGTTATTTTGAACATGTACTTCCCTGCCTTTGGGGGTCCAGAGTAGTCTCCCTGCTTAGTATCAGGAAGTCTTGGCTGGTATCGCTTAGTGCAAACGTACTGTTACAGGCAGCACAAGTTCAGGTGCACAAGGATGAAATGGGTTTGGAAGGGGCTAGGCAGCCATTCCACTGTGGGGCAAGCCATTATTTCCTATGTTGCTGTTGTTGTTTTCTTCCTTTGTGTCTCTTTACCCCGTAACTCTAAAACTTTGGATTGTTTGAATGTGAAACTCAGGGTGGAACTCAGCCAAAGCCGCTGAGTTTCACGCAGGTCCCACATGAAAGAGGTATTCTACCCAGCCTTGCTCGAAACCTGGCCCATGTTTTGCCAAAAGTTTCATAAATGTCAGTGAGCCTGGATTTGAAACATAATCCAAAGCCAGGTGACTTCAAGCGACTTTGAGGCTTAACTGTGTAAGTATAGAATCTGTCAAACAAGGACATCTCTTATTTTCCTATCATCTCGATGTAATTTCATGTGTACACACATTTTTCCCCAATAAACTCCCATTTGTTCTATGATGTTTGAAAGCCAGGTTCAATCTTAATATGAATTTTTAAAGCTGTGGTATTTAAACATTGGCAACTACCAGCCTGCATTTTGAATTCCTACGGTGGTGTGAACATGTTGGTATAATTCAGCTGAAGGAAGTCTCAGGAGAGCCATGGAATGTCTTTCTTGCTTAAATATACCTCTGTGCTCGTGAGGAACAAACAGTAACATTTTGTCCTGGGCTATCCACTCGACAGTATGGTTTTTGTTCACTCTCCAAAGGTGGTGTCAAATATATTGGTGGAAAAAAATAATAAACTTCCCGATTTTTTTTTGCTTGCTCAAGTGATACACTCCTAGGGAACATTGCAAGCATTGAAAGATTCAGTGCAATTACTTGTAACGTATACCGAAAATAAAGGAGTACTCAGCAGAGTCGAGCTCCTTCAGAAAAGCTTGGTGACTTAGAGCTGACGCGTACTAATGGTCAGACAGGGCAGGGTGATGAAGGGGGCGTGTTTTTGACCGGGGTAAGAGTGGGTAGAGAGGAAAGAGGATTTGTAAACTTTGTTCGACAAATCTGCCACATATAAAACAAAAAGAATCAGGCCCAGGATCCGAAAACATTCCTTTCTTTTCTTGATCATCTAAATTTGTGTTGGCTGAATACTGCATTTTTTTGGTATTATTTTTTGCATTGAGGGCACCAAAGATTATGTCCCGATCCTAGGATTCCAGAAATGGCAAATTCCCTCCAATGAAAACAGGACCAGGTGGGAGACCTGCGCAGTTGCGTAGGAAGCTGCAAGAGCCAGTCTCAGAAAGATCCGCGTGGTCCTAATGCTCACGGGAGATGCTAAGCTCAGGAAACTACGATTTGATGTGTCGTTTTATTTGTTGGAGGGTTTCTGAACCCGTTTGAAGAATTTTCATGAAAATGAACTTGTGACCTTACTCCAGATGTCGCCAGAAGCTATTTAGTGAGATTTACGGTTATGGATTATAAAGTGAAACTGTCACCAAATTTCCTTTTGGAAAATGTGTAGTCCTGCATCTGTTTAACAAAACAGGCCTTTTACGAAGGACACAGTCTGCATTTCAGCAGGTGACTTGAACAATGACTGTCACGGGCCCCACACTGAGTAAAGTGTTTGAAGACCTGACAAGGACCGAGCTCGCGGGTCCTGCGTGGAGCAGCTGCACCTGGGCACTGACTCCCCGGTGCAGCGCTTGCAGGGTATCAGTTGTGGACTTTCCGTCTGCAGCTGGTGGCACTGCCATGTGGGACCTAAGGTCAATCTTTCTTGCTTTTTCAAATTAACAGGGGCCATGTTGCTCTTGCCTGCTCCCCTGTGCTTCATCTGGAAACAAATTCAGTTAAATAGGATCAAATCTGTTTTTTATTGTTAATTTTGCTGGGAGAGTCAAAGTCTTAGATGAAGTCCTAAAGGGAAGAAATCTGTTGTTTCTTCCTTAAGCCAATGTAAGGATATCCTGCATTATTTAAAATGCCAGCAATGAAGATCATTCAGTGAACATGGGATTCTGTCACCAAGCACCTACTGTGCACCAAGAACTCTGCCATAGTCAGGTGAACAGCCTGGTGGGACAGTCAGGAGACAAGAGTTGCTGGTGGACCACAGAGCTGGGGTTGGGAGTCAGGCATCTCCAGGGCTTGAAAATCAGAGATGTTCTCGCAGAGGGAAAACTATATTTGAATTGGGGCTTCAGGTCAGATGAGAGGGTGTTCAAATGGAAGAGGGTGACATGGCTAAAGACTCAGAAGAGAGACAACTCGGTCCTCAGAGAACATCCAGACATCTGGTAGAGCAAGAACTTGGGTGTGAGGGGCTTATCCCTGGAAAGGTGTATACTGGGCTGGCTTTCACTGATTGAGACAAAAATCCTCATGATTAGTTTCATACGTTAGTGTTATTGCTCATCAGCATTCACAGTGATGAGAGACATGAAACCCTGGACAGCCCAGCTCAGGAGATGTCACTGAGAACAAGGGGACAAAGGCGAGAACAGTGGAAATGGGAGGAGACCAGCTGTGCAGAGGGGGAGGCATCAGGACCGTCCAGAACTGCCCTCCCGCTAGACTTTGCCCTGGGCACTAAGACTCTACCTGCATCTGTAATTTTACTTAACATTCAGTATTATCAGAGATGAGTAGTATTTGTGTTGCTTCATCTAATGCAGAGCTACATCATATTCAATAACTACTTCGTCTTAATCATCTGCAGTAACGCAGGGCAATGCAGGGCAGTGTTACTTCTAATATGAGGTTGGTCATGCAGGTTCACGCACCCAGGGTACAGGTGCGGACACCAACACCTGTGGCAGTTCCTGCGTCATCTGCTTTGTGTCCTGAGTAAAGAGCAGATGCTGGATTGACTCTTGTATCAGGATCTTTCAAAGGGTGCCATGGCACCCAATTCTAAAATACAAATACATAGAACAGGTTAAAAATAATAGCCAAAGAATGTCTAACAAGAAAACCATTGATCCAAGCAATACAGGAGATATTTTCTAACCAAAGCAAGTTTGGATTTTCTATCCTTCATTAAGAGAAAACCATGAGCAAAAGGGAGATGAGGAGCACAGAGAAAGACATGAATGTGCCGATGGTTTTTATGAACCGAGAGCTATGAGCTGGCCG